TATATATATATATATATATATATATATGTGTGTGTGTGTGTGTGTATATGTATATATATATATATGCATGCATAACCAACATTTTTGCTTTTGCAATGCATTATTGTCTGTGACGGATCCATGTAATGCGTTGAGCTCCAACTTCTTGCTTTGATGAAAATTGTATTTGTCTAACCGTTTAATGGGATCTTTAATAAAATATTATTGTTCATTTCATAATTGCAAGCATGATTACATTCAGAATTTTTTTTAATTGAACTAATTTATCTGCTGATATTTAGCCTGTTAGCTTCTTGAGTGTCTGTTTTCTAATAGAATTTTTATTCTGTAAATATTGGGAAAAGTAAATGTTCATATGGTAATACATGCTTTCATTAAACAATGGCATGGAAACTAATCATTTTTAATGTTTTTGGTCAACAAAGTCAATGCTTTGGGTTGAGCATCATACTGTAGATTGAGTGCATGTTAATATGTTTAAGAAAAATTAGATATTGTGGATGTTGAAACTAGTAGGATTCCATAGGAGAATGAGTTTTGCATGTCCATTTCCATTCGATTTTAGTTCCCATTTTCATCGAAGTGATTAAAAGTCCCCCTCGATTCCGCAAAACTTCTTTCCTGCCCTTTGATTTACAGTCAATGAGAGGCAGATAAGAATTAATTAGTAAAATGTTCCCTATATAGATCTCACTTTCTTGCACCCAGTCAAATTGCTGGGGGCCGACCTTGGATTTTCCTGCATTATTGATGGCTCTAAACTAGAACAGCGGCGTAATTAAAAGAGCGAATGGAATGGAATATTAACAAAGCGAAATGATGTAGCAGTGTCTGGCAAATGGGCTGTAATTGGAAACGTAGACGGTAATTAAAGGCTGGTCTGTTTACTTGAGATGTTCCTCTCGTTGAAACAGGTCTCTGGGCACCCATCGGCAGACACGCAGACTCAGGGCCAGGTCCTGGCTAATAGCGTCCGGTGGGGACAAACACCCATTAACCAGTCCACGCCCTGGGACACGGATGAGCCGCCCGCAAAACAGATGAGGGAGAAAGATATGACAGGTAAAGAGCTGAAAGCAAAGCCCACAGCGCTGCGATAACACCTCTTGTTCGTTATCTTTTCATGCATGCATGGATGGATTGATTGATTGCTCGAAGTGGCTTCAAATTAGGCATGGGCCATGGGAAAAATATCATAGCATATTGAGTTTTTTCAGGCAGGAACACAATCCACAATCTTATCACGATTCTTTTTCATGTTGGTTTTTAAAACTGTTTAGCAAGTTACTGAGCAGTACAACCAAACTAACTTCCCTGTTTATAAATATAGCCTTATAAGATAACAAAACATGAAAGAAAATGAATAACAGACCATTTAGGCCAATGTAGGGGTGGAAGATATGAACAAAATCTTATTTCAGGTTAATTTTATTTCATTTTACTTCATTATTTATCTTTGTTATTAAAATATTTATAACTATTTTTTTTGTTAAAATATAAACAAAGATTTACATTACAAACAATAAGACAAATACAGTACTGTATAAGAAAGAAAAAAAATTAATACTTTTTTTTTATGCATTGGTCAATTTTGAGATTTTTGGCTTTTCAAAAACATGTCGTTTCAGACGAGTGGATAGAAAACATCCAAAATACACTTTTAAATCTATCTATCTCTCTCTCTCTCTCTCTCTCTCTCTCTCTCTCAATCTCTCTATCTCTCTCTATCTCTCTATCTCTCCGTCATCTCAACACATATAAAAGGCTGTTTTCTCATTTACAGTTTCGTTCCTATATATATATATATATATATATATATATATACAGTGGGAACGGAAAGTATTCAGACCCCCTTAAATTTTTCACTCTTTGTTATATTGCAGCCATTTGACCCACTGTATATATATATATATTCTGAAGGTTTTTACAGAGGGGTTTGTTCACATATCATTTGCCTCATTTTATACAACATTTTATTCCTTAAAAACATGCTGAAAATGTATTTTTCCTGGCTGTCGACAGTATTTTCTAATTTATGGAGTGATAAAAAGAGATATCCACAATCTCCTCTGTAAAAATCTTTAACTTTAATATGCCAACAAAATGAAACAAAAAATTTAAACCTGGCTTTATTCAATGTTTAAATTTATTTTGTAGAAATGCATGCAAATTAGTGCAGACATAATTGCATAATGCCTTGTGCATATTTAAATATAATATTCAAAAAACTTGTTTGCAAATTATAATCAATCAACTGGGTAAGTATGATGTCAAAATGGTGATGGTTAAATTTTTTACCCTATTTACCTGCAAATGCATGCAAATTATAAATTGCAATGTCATGTGAATGTAACAGTGATATAGATGATAATCAAACTCAATAATAATAATTCAAAAACATTAGGTAAAATGTGCATTGATGCATGATACTAATGATCTCTCTATAAAGGCAGACCTTGAAGACATTTGAATAGTTCTCAGTCTAATATTGTCATATCGCATGCATCTACTTCAAATGGATGTTGTTTCGCTCTCTGCAGCTCCTCTATGGCCGCCTCAAGTAGCTGCCGCCGTCAGCCAGGCTGGACTCTTGGCGCACACATACGCTCTGCCACAGGCGCCAGCTTACAGCCAGGGCGTCCAAGCACCCATCGTCGGTGTGACCCCGGTGCTCCAAACCCCCCATCCACAATTACCCACACACTACCAGCTCCAACAGCAGCCTTCACAGCCAATGACCAACATGGTCCTCAACGTCCAGAGCCAATCCCTCGCCGTCGGCGGCCTGCCTCCAATGCCCAGCGTCTGCCAGGTCGCCCACCCCGTCCACACGGTGGTGGGCAACGGCCATTTGACGCATCCCATGGTGCAATCCGCCACCATGAGCTCCTCGCCGCTGCCCACCAACGAGCCGCTGACGAACGGCCAGCAGGAAACCGCCAACAACAGCCTGCAGATGCTGAGAACGGTCGGATTAGGGAAATACGAATTCACGGACCCCTGGCATCCCAAAGGTAAATTATATTTCAGCCACAAGTTTTCCTGGACATTATAATGTTTTGTTGCGCTTAGGGATGTTAATTTTAACCGTTTAACCGGTTAACTGACCGTGAGAGTTTTGACCAATTAATACAATCAGGTAAACGGTTTAAAAAGTCATTTAATTATTTATTTTTTCAGTAATTTATCAAAATATTTAAAAAGGTTTGCTGCATGGTTAAAATACGCTACGCGTATAAAAAAAATTCTTTTTTAGGGGGGAAAAATATGTCGCATTTTATTATTTCATTCAGAAATAGGCCTAATGCCGACGCGAAATGTTTATAAACATAGCTAGGCTATTTTAGTTCCCCTCACTCCACAACAAATCCTTTCAATTAACAGTATTTAGAAAATAATTAAAAATATAAGCTATAGCAATATAAACGTCAAGCCAAAACGAATTAATTTAGGCTAAAACGAAACTGAAACCAACGTTGGGTCTCTCATTTGATAGCTTTATTATATTTTTCTCCGCTTGCAGAAGCGCTGCAGGTGTGTGATGTGATATGATGACCAAGTGAATCCTCATGTTCTGTTGTTTGCTGCTTTTTGCGCATGTAAAGTTAATCCCTGGGAAACAAATGTTAGTATTTTTTAACGGGTCACAGACACTTATCCTTTCTAATTTAATTCAATTCTAATTTAAAATAATCTTGTCGGTTAACGGTTAACAATCGGTTAACGAGCGTCGGTTGTCGGTTAGGAAAAATAACCGAAATGAACATCCCTAGTTGCGCTCCTCTAGTCTCCGAAAGAATCGCTCGCTATCTTCGACCTGCACAACTTGGTGATCTTGAATATATTTATTACTTTCCTGCCTTTCACTTTCAATAAAACCCCCCATTCATCAACACCCACAAGACGAGACGATTCGGGGTGGATTGCCTTTCTTTTCCTTTTGTTTTTCTTTCCTACCCAGCCAGTGGAAGCTCCTAATGATTTTACGAATTAGCTTCTCTGATATTCGGCAGCATCCGGGAACTATTGTGAAGATCAAATAGATTTACGGGGCAGTGGATGCTTCTACAAAATTGTTGGTGGGTCTGAAATGGCAGAAATAATTTCCATATAAATGGAAACCTTATGTAAATATAGTGTAAATGAATTTCAGTTCATATATCAACACAGTCGGGACAGGCAAGTTTAATGTACCATAGCTAATTTCTTAGGAATGATTTATTAGGGGAAATAAACTTGTGGCGTTTGTAACTCGAGTAAGTCTCAACTTTTCCGGTTCTGTTTTTTGGACTCTCGTTCTTCATATTATTCCCTATAAAAATGGAATGAAATATTCAAAATAAACCAGTATGTAGTTATTGTGTGATATTGTGCCCTAAAGCTTTCAAATCGCCTTGATTTTCTAGCCAGCTACAGGCAGAAATCTATTTTTCTGTCTCCCTGTATTGAATGTCATGTTGAATCGCGTGAGGTATTAATCTTCTGAAGAGAACGCGAGGCGAGTTTGCTGCCCATTTTTCTGCTTGTAATTGCTTCTAGGGATGATGGGAAATCAGATGCCAAAGACTTTGTTCATTGAATATTGGCAGTTTCTACTGAAATTTACAGATTAATAGGAACTGGACAGTAGAGAGTATTCTTTCATGTCAACAGAAATGGCAAAATGGTTTGTGAAAAGGTGGTGTTTCGTATTAGAATTAGACCTGAATGTGAGTTTGCTTTAAATATTTTAGGAAGGCTGAATAACTTTAAGCTAGAGTTGCATCAGAAAATCTGGCTTTTGCATGTAGAGAGGTGTTTGAATAACCTTAAAAATTGGTGTAGGATTGACATTGGTGGATTTAGGTTGTAATTTTGAGATGATTGCATCAAAAACTGGTCTTTGCATGTATAAAAGTTTTCGATTAATTGAAAAATTGCTGTAGGATTGGCCTTGGTGTGTGTAGGTCATAATTCTGAGAAGATAGTATCAGAAAAAGTGGTTTTTGCATATAGAAAAGAGTTTGATTAACTAAAAAAAAATTGGTGTAGGATTTATATTAAAACAATTTTCACTCAGGAATTGCTAGTAAATTTCACAAATAATTACAAAGAAATGGCAAGTAACACATTGGATTAAACATGAAATTTTGAAGTAGAAACTCCAATAATAACTCCAACATACTCTAATAAAGTTTTATTATTTAACTGTGAAAAATAATTTTTACAGTGAAAATTGTGGATGTTTTCAAGGACACCTGATGCCACCAGACAGATTACTGAAACCAGTAGATATGAGAAATGTGATGCTCTGATGCATTTGAGTAGCACTGCGAAATGGATAGATGCATAAATTTATGCTGAGTTTTGGCCGTTCTTCAGACAAAGATTGAGACTTTCCAAAGTGCATTTGAGAAAGTAAGTAATCTGATACAATGCAGGAGGAGCTGAATGCAAACTAATGGCGTCCGAAGGAGACATGCAGCTGTAGGATAGACTGGTGCACATATATTTCAAATGAAAATGTAGATTTGAAAGATTTGGCCAGAACTGATCTATAAGGAAGGATAATGTGTTATTGAATGGGATTCTTGGGTTAGTGCATTACATGCATTCATTTGGCTGATGCTTTTATTCAAAGCAACTTGCTTTGCATTCAATGTAGTGCTGGGCGGTATGACCAAAAATTTATATCACGGTATTTTTCAAAATTATACCGGTTTCACGGTACAAGATGGTTTTTTTTTTTTTTCATGCATGACCGAGTGTTAACCATATTTTCTACTGATTGAGAGAGGAAATACTGCAGTATATTGACTTAGAATGCCCTATTTTACTATCATGACTTAGTAACACATACAGCTGTTCCCTCACCACAGTGCAACACCCCTTTCAAACAGTGTCGCGTTCCGAACGTTCTTTAAGTGACATATACCGGTATTGCGGTATTTTCAAAATTCATATCATAACAAAAATAAAAACCGGTATTCGGTATGAACCGGTATACCGCCCAGCACTACTTCAATGTATACGTTTTATCGGTTCATGCATTTCATGGGAATCAATCCCATGACCTTGGCGCTCTACTGTTTGAGCTACAGAACAGTGTGTGGAATAAAGCTCAAACTGATAATGTTGGTGCTATTGGACTTTTTCAGTTGGAAAATTGAAAAATCATAATAGATTTTTCTGTCCAATGAATGTCTGAAGACGTGAAGCCTTGCTTACTTTCTCTTTAAAACCAAACCATACGTCTGCTTCATGAAACCTGAGTTCTCCATTTTTCTGTAAGTGTCAAGTCCAGTCTTCATTTCTAACCTCCATCTCTGTTTATCAAGCCCCATGTGCTGCAGTGTGGAAGCGGATCTCTGACAGGGCGGGTTTAGGATGAATTATCACAGCTTTATCTGTCTAAACCGTAAAAGCTGCTCCATGCAGCTTAATCTGCTCCTCCTCTCCTCCGAGAACAGGAGAGACGTCCATCACAATCTGACCTCATCCTGCTGCACAAACGCTGATTATTACTACCTTGACTTAGATTAGATGCATTGATTTTTAGCAGTGTTTGCCAGGTCAAGCTTCACTATTATCGTTTCCGTTTAGAGTTAGTGATTTAACGTTTGGAATTAAACTTCAACACATAATGCAATGCAACACGGAGCTGAATCGTTCCTTAAATTGTGAAGCAATTGAAAAGCCGAATGCATAGTATCTCTGTATTTCCCCACATACTATATATGAATTACACGTGCATTGCTTTCTTGTGTGTTTTTGTATTTATAACTAATGAAATCTAAAGTGAAATATTGAGGTTGAAAGGTGTCTGTTTATAGACGTGAGAGCATGAAAATTTCTTCATACTGATGACATCTTTTATTTATGTAATGTTAATCCTGTTTATATGTTTATGCATATTGGATATTTTGCAATGCATTGCATGGATAATAAACCTATGAGTGTATTTGAAAAGATGGTAAATGGTATGGTAAAAACCATCCTGGAAGAGGAAAACTTCATAAAAGCTCCAAAGTCTATACGCTTCTTAGTATTTAAGGTGCGATTCAGACACAAGGGCTGTTCCCTAGGAGGTAAGCAGCATAATTATGCCTTTTAAGACACCTTCCTTTAGAGAAAATTTAAATCCATGAATGAAGCAAGAGAAATGATTTATAAATGTACTTACTGTTCATTTAGTGCTGAACATCTTTGAAGAATAAGTTTAGTCTAATTTGTATTTAATGGCCTACGTAGAGTGTTCTGAATTTATGAGGGTCCGTTTCATTTAGGATGCAGCCAGCAATAGACAGCAGAAAGCAAGGTACACTAGAGTTCAAAAGTTTGAGGTCGGTCAGATTTGTTTTAATGTTTTTAAAGAAGTCTCTTCTGCTCACTAAGGCTGTATTTATTGGATCAAAAATACTGTAAAAACAGTAAAATTGTGAAATATTATTACCATTTAAAATGACTGTTTTCTATGTGAATATATTGTAAAATATAATTTATTTCTGTGATCAAAGCTGAATTTTCAGCATCATTACTCCAGTCTTCAGTGTCACATGATCCTTCAGAAATCATTCTAATATGCTGATTTGCTGCTCAAGAAACATTTCTGATTATTATCAGTGCTGAAATGTTTTTTTACATTTATGAAGCATGCATTTATTTTTTTGTCAATTTTTAATTTTTTTTTTAATTCTTTGATAAATAGAAAGTTCAAAATAACAGCATTTATTAGAATTTTTTTTACATATAAATATCTTTATTGTCACTTGAATGTGTCCTTGCTGAATAAAAGTATTAATTTCGTCTTCTCCAGAGAACACTGACCCACTTAAATAGAGAATAATTTCCTGCCGTCCATGCTATCCCTGGCTCAAATTAATAGGGAACATTTTAGGCAGATAATCACATGTCCTTTTCCTTATTAGTTTGTCAGACGTCTGTGGAACAGCTGTCAGAGGCGTGTGACGTGTTACTCTAATGAAGCTGAGACGCTTACACCGGCCAATTATTCAAATGACTGCACGGAAAGCCAGCACATGAAATGCAGAAGTGACTTTGAATGTGTTTATTTTCAGAAGCGCAATATCCTTTGTTGCACAGAATTGGGTCTCGTCGTATATCAGCTGCTGTTTGTGGTCGCTTCTTATTAGTCATGAATACCTGTCGCGATCACGGCGTCCTGCTGTTTCAGGGGCTTTGGGAGTTGATGAAGTTATTCCAGCACATAAAATCATTCCGCTTTGGGTTCAGAGATGATTAATTATACATAAATCATGTCAGGTATGACTCATGCATATATTCACCTTATAATTATAATTTGATGAGCATAATTTCCTGGACATGAGGAAGTTTTGGACTAATCTTGGACCTGAAAAGACCATCACTGGAGTACATTGTAAATGTTTACCAGTTATATTTTATCCCAAAATCTCAAGAAAAAAATATAATATATTTATATATAAACCTATATTTAGAAAAAAAAATGTTAAATTATAAATTATTATGATTATTATTTTCAGAAAAATAGGCTTTTTTGGGCCTTTTTTTAGGCCCTAGGGCCTAGGACCAAAGGTTAGGACACACACACACACTTTGTTTGTGTGTGTGTGTGTGTGTGTATAATTCCATTATATATATTATTTGTTTTTGTTTTTTTGCCTTGTGACATTATTTTCATGGCAATTAATCACATTTCCCCTCAAAATATCATTATCGTTCTTTGTTCTGATGTTTTGCTTTTTAAATAAATTAAGTTTTATAATTTTAATAATTTTACTGAATGTTCATTATATTCATTATATATCGTAAGTCTATACAGGTGTATACATTATAGTTAAAAATAGAGCCCGACCGATATGGGTTTTTTGGGGGCCGATACCGATATTAGGGAGTAAAAAAAGACTGATACCGATATATCGTACGATATTCTTTGTGTAGGCTATATTATAGTACAGTATAGTCAAAAGTTTGGACACACTTCCCATTAGGAATAGTGTGTCCAAACTTTTGACTGCTACTGTATATAGAATACAGTATATAGCCTACATAAACAGAATATATATATACATAAACACATTTTTTGCAATGATAACTCAAATGTGGTGATTAAACACATAATGATGTGACAAACTAAGGCCTATGTAATGGAGGCAGGGTATTTAACAATTTAACAATAAACTGCTGCGTTTATCATTTTTTTCAGTGTGTGTGTATATATATATATATATGTACTGACCTGTTTTTTATTTATTCATCAAAAATAAGACAAATACAGACTCAAGCCACCACCGCACTGCCGTCTATTGGACTGCAGAAAGATATTAACTTTTCAATCTGCTACGTTACTGACTGTACTGACAAACTATGCTGACACCGTGTCACTGCGCAACAGGACGCGACAAAGCGACCGTTGAAAATCATTTGAACTTTGTGTCAGCACGTTATAAATAGAACGAGGCATCAGTTTACTGCATCCAGTGTAGACCCACATCACTGATTATAATGGGTTCTATTCTACACTGGACGCGAGCACCGCGCGATGTGATGTTACCGATGTGATAAGCATGAGTTCTGGGCCGCGGCGCGGCCAGGATAAACATCAGCATTGACTGAGTGGCTGCGATCAGCTCCAGTGATCGTAACACAGGCTTTAATGCGCCGCAGACGCGTGCCGTGATGTGCAGATCAGCTCTAGGCTCTAACGTCACTGAAACTGCTGTTGAATATGAACCATCCATTCATCATATCATCATGCAAAACTAAGAATTAGAATCATTGTAAATATGCAAATATAGGATAATTTGCAGATAATTTGAAGCAGCGGACTCAGGTGAAGTTTGAGCTCATCCGCGCATCTCTACATTACACTGACCTGGTTCGCCAGTAGCAAACAATGGAGCGTGCTCTGCTGGACAAACTTAAGTAATTACACCATTCAGAAGCATGGTGTAAAACATAATCTGCCTTATATGTTCTGTAAAAAAAAAAGTCATATCGGTGACATATTCGCCGATACCGATATATCGGCCGATAATATTGGCTAAACGATATATCGGTCGGGCTCTAGTTAAAAATGTAATTTGTTATAGAGTTATAACAAATTACTAAAGAATACAAATATAGCTTAAAGCTTGAAGAAAGCGAGAAAGAGAGAAAAACAAAACCATAAATTACTGTAATGCAACTTGTTAATGTGTTGTATTAAAATAAAGATGTGTATATTGTATTAAAATATAATTATATTTCAGTAATCATAATATAATGATATATATGTGTGTGTGTGTGTGTGTGTGTGACCAAAGCTTATTTTTAGCAATAATAATAGTAATAATAATAAATGACATGAAGAATGTGAATGGAATTTTTATTTCCAGAACCTGACTATAGTGTTCCATTTGTGTGTAAAAAGGAATAGTTCATCCTAAAATTAAATGTCTGAAAAGAACAGAACGAAGGGTTTGCAATGACATGTTGGTAAAAAAAAATAAGCACAGCGTTTTCATTTTTGGCTGAAGTATTCCTTTCAATCAAAGCTGCAGACATCATACTGATAAAGTTCAGCGCTTGTTTCGTGGAATCACAATGAAATGACAGCGCTGACTTCTGCCCTTCATTTCTGTTGTTGTTTTTCCTTCATGCTTGATGGTTGTATTCCTCCATTCCAGCCTTTTACTTGCACAAACAGATAATTTCCTGTTTTTCTTCGAGTAATGATATATTTTGTCATCATATGCTGTGTGCTTGGATCTCAGAAGGTCCGAAAATCACTGTTTCTCTTCTTTCTCTTGTTCTACAGAAATGTTGAAGGAATTGAACCAGCAGCGGCGAGAGAAAGAGTTTACAGACCTGAAAATAATTGTTGAAGGCAAAGAGTTTGAAGTCCATCAAAATGTTCTAGCTTCCTGCAGCTTGTATTTCAAGGACATGGTGAAAAGGTTTGCTTTCCTCCCGTCCTTGATCTGTTCTGTTCTTTTCGTAGGGTGCTTTTGTGTCGCCTCCTTTTCCCTCCCCGTCTCTTGCAGGTCTGAAGACATCGGTTCCCGTCACAGGGCCAGTAGCCATTCTGTCTGTCCCAGCGACGAATGTATTTCACTGCTGAAAAAGGTCAAGGTGTCGACCGATCTGACCCTTTCATCTCCATTCACTAAGTGTGCCGGTTTGCATTTAAATGGGTGAAGAATTTCCATGACTGGGGGTTTTGGTTTTAAATGCTTTGTAAATGTCAAAACAAATGAAAGGCAGATTTTAGGGATGCGTTAGGCATATTGGATCAGCGCTGCGCTCGGCTGTCTGTGTCAAGTGCTTAGACGGGATGTTCTAGTCGTCCCACTTGACCTTTTACCTGCTGTGACTCGCTCTGGAAATTCACACGCCGCTTCGAGATTAAGGGAACTGCATGCGCGGATCTCGTTTCTGCTTCGGGAAATTCAAAGTTTTTTTTGCCGACTTTGCCGTCTTGTATCGATGCTGATCTCAGCAGTCGGGAGTCCCAGAGCCGTAAGACTGACTGCATGTTATTTATGAGGAAAGCCTGATACTGAATTATGTTTACAGGCAAAGAAACGCACAACTCCAGCATCTGTTGTGTGTGTGTGTCATGTGCCCTTCTGGGGAACCCGTGAGGCGAAGTTTGCCACATATTTACTGCAAAATCATGTTTCCATATGCAAATGAGCTTTGTGGCAAAATGTTGGCAGTAAATTTGTGGTGAACAGTTGGAGCTAACCTTTAAAACTGATACTTCTGATTGGAACCTAACTTTTGTTAGCTAGCAGAAAGAAATAGTGGAAATATGAACAGAAGATCGAATGGAAAAAGACTGTTCGTAAAAGATTTTCATTTCGGATCCTTTCTGTATTTTACGTCATATCTATTTTTTACAATCTGTTTTTCAAAGGTAGATATTTTTTGAAAAATTACTAAAGGTATTTTTAACCCTGTAAAGCCTGACATGAAATAACAGCCAGAAAAAAGAGCAGTTTATTATTTATTTATTTTTACCAAAAGGTTTGCATATGCATTTTTGTTGAGTATCATATTTGATACATGAGGCTTTTATGGCTCATATAGTATGATATAGTAAGAATATTGAGAAAAAAAATGTATTCAGAGGTCCAAACTGAGCAAAAATATGCAGTTTGGTTCAGATACTGATATTTTTATGGGCAAAAAGATGAAATTCTGATGCTTGTGATGTAACTCAATGAGATCTTTATAACAGTAGAGCAGATACTTTCATACAATGCTAAAAATATCAGTCATCACTCTATATCTCTATATCTCAGATAATGTGTTTTCGTAAGATGAGATTTAAATGATCAAAACATATAATGCAATGCAATCCAATAATGACTGAGAGATGAACAAATAAACGCTCCTCAAAAGCCTGATAATCATATTCCATTATACGTTTGAATATTTCAACATGATTTTTCTAAAAAAAAATGATAATGGATAAAGTAAACCTGGTTCATCTTGAAATATTACTAATAATATAAAAGTTGTTCTTATGTTTACTATAAAAATCAGTAAAGATTTCACCGCAAACCTCAAACTGAAGGGGGACGTTTGTACAATTATGAAATAGATTGTGTGCAACAAGTTTTGGTCATGTTGATCATTTAAAAGCCTTAGAAATTTGCGTATCAAATATGATACAGTAGGCTGTACAGGGTTAATGAAAGTGCACTACAGTACAACTGATTGCACACATGTGTTGTACATCTATCCCTCTCAGCCTCGTTTCAGTCACATCAAATTAAACCTAATCCAGGACGTTGAACACAGAGAACGAACAGATTTCAGTTGGCTTGGCATGTGAAATCGCTGTAATGCTTTCATATTCCCATCTGATATCTATATATTGTGATGCATGTACTCCAGCTTCAAGGAGAGATTGTGCCTGGGAATCTCGGGCGGTTGATTGTGAATTTAGTCTGGGTCGAGCTGATCTATCTCGAGCAGCAGCAATGAAAACTGCATTAGGAGCAATAACTCAGAAGTTTGTTCTCGGTGAAGCATAAAATGTGCTGATACACCTCGCAGAGCGATTTGAGTTCCACTGCCTCTGGAAGCACAGAAACTAGGGGCTCCGGATGGGGAATTTCACACTCACAGTGACGTCTAGATTGTCTGTTTTAAAACGAGCATTTCTGTAGAACCTAGTGAGCTACCAAGGCAACATCCTAACTGATCTGAAACGCATCATGCACATGGGACTCACAAAATGATTATAATTATAATAATTTATGCATTTAGCAGACGCTTTTATCCAAAGCGACTTACAGTGCATTCAGGTTATACATCTTTTACCAGTATGTGTGTTCCCTGGGAATCGAACCCACGACCGTTTGCGCTGCTAATGCAATGAATGCTTTACCACTGAGCCACAGGAACATTGACTCATTGATATTGACTCATCAATTGACTTTGATATCACGATGAATAACAGTTCATGATTCACAAAAATTTATTTATACTTTGTTTATGCTATATATATATATATATATATATATATGCACATGTATTTATTTATGCACATGCATTTATTTATTTATGTGTTTATGAATTTTTGCATATGCACATTTATGTATTCATTTATTGGCATTCATTGCAATTATTTATGCAATTATGAATTTATTTATATATTGACACGTTAATTTATTTATAGATTTGTGCATTTATATATGCATTTATGATTTTATTTATGCATTCATTTATTTATTTATTTTATTTAGTTTAGAGTACGTTTATATTTTAAATACACACTGTTTATTTAAATAAATAATTCTCAGTTTGATTTGTTTTTTTTTCCACTGAGCTTGACGCAATGCATTCTAGAATGCATTCTACCAGCATAATCGTACACATGTGATGCCTGTAGGTGGCTCATCAGGTTCCAGAACAAAGCCATTCAGTCACATCATCACCATTCAGTTGAAAAATACATTAGCTCTGTGCGTTTCTTTATCTTTTCACAAAGTCGAAAATACGTAACCTTGTCAAGTGGAATTAAAGCAATGTGATGCATTTGAACAGAAAGTTCAATCCAGTTCGACTTCATAAAGTTAAATCTGACGTTTATGTGCGTTTATGTACATAGAACTGTCTGTCGGCTGAAAATTCACGCTACATTAAATCGAGAGTCAACAGCTTTGTTCGGCGGAATAAAATCAATGGCGTGTCATGATCGATAAAGCAGCAGCATACTAAACTGTTCAAAAAACACTCTTGCATTATTAATTTATAATGCATTTCTAGTGGGAAAAATGTGAGTGGTCTTACACTATTTCAACCTGATTATTTGCTTGTTTACACTTCAGACGTGCTTTATTAAAAATTTACTTCAGTCTTTGAACTTTAAGGGAAAAAGGCCTACATGATGAATATCAAATCTGAACGAAACCTTGATCTTGAAAATTATCCATGCATTGGGCTGTAATCTGAGTTTAATATCAGAGATGTCTGGCGGCCCTTTAATGAGCGAATCAGGCTGACGTTATCAGGGTGCCGGTCATTTATATCAGTCAAAGGGACCGTGTTTATCTAATCGTCTATAAAGAACACCTGCTGTATTTGGCGTTCTCAGAGAAAACGTGCATTAAAAAGTGATTCATCCATTTAGCAAATCATGCACTAAGTGGATCTGCGTTTGGATGTAATATATAGCCATTAACGCCGCCTCGTTCACATCGATACAAGGCAGCGCCGCTTATGAATTTCACAGTATCTCCAGAGATTCAGCCTGTCTGCTGGATTTTATTGAATATTTGTGCTTTGTTTCTGGCAGTGCATCCATCATGTTTTCACGTATATATTTGCATAGACACTGCGTTATTAGTCTGAGACGGATAGCTGGCGTTGAAGAGCCCACTTTAGTTTGACAACTCTTGATTTGTTTTGTTCCATTAAAGGCAGAGTAAGTGATTTTTCAAAAACACTTTAGGGCACTTAACTCAGAGGTTCTAGTGGTTTGATGCCCACTTGTAATTTTTTTGCTGCTTTCTTTTGATCCTCTTAGCTTTTTATGTCTGGAAGAATCAATATAGGCATAAGATAAAGTGTAAGTTTATATAGTTAATATAGTTAAGTTAATATAGTCCATTGTTTGGAGAGTATAATCATAAAATTATCATAATGAACAATTATTCATGATTCACATTTTATTTATGCATTTGAGCATTTATGCATGAGTCTAGTCTCGAATTTATGCACATGCATTTACTTTGATTTAGTTTTTTATATTGTTTATGCATTAATTTATTTTGATTTCATTTTTATTTATTTATGCATTTATGTATTTATTTATAGAATATTTATTTTATGTAAAAAAATATTATATTAATATAATAAAATATTAAAATAAATATGATATTTTATAAATATTATTTATAAATAAACATATATTCATTATTTATTTATTTACACATTCGTTTGTTTATGCATTTATTTGTGCATCTATTTATGCATATATGCTTTTTTGTATTTATGCATAAACTTTTTTCCCCGCTGGTTCAGCTGGTCTAGTTTGATGGTTTAAGAGGAGTTTTTTCTCTCAAGGATGTAGGCAAATGAGTGTGCTCGACATTTCCTGGAAAATGGGAAAAATGGAAATTGTGTCTATTTTAGAGACCCCTGTCATTCTTAAAAGGTTTTTCCGCCTTTGAGTGCCATACTTTCATCACTATATTTTCCCAGTCTAATCAATGTAATAGTCATAGTCCATGGATAAAAAGAAAGATTTTGATAACCGTATAATTTTTTTTTTCTTTTTCTTTTCTTTTTTTCAGGGCAGACATGTGCTTTATACTTGAGAATAAAAGTATGGCCAAAAAGCTCTTTTTCTGAGCATTTTTTTAAATTATTATTATTATTATTTATCCTTGCACATGTTATTTATGCATTAATTTATTTTCCATTTCATTTATTTTTATGTATTTGTTTATTCCTTTATTTTTATTTATTTATAAAATATGCATTAATAAAATTATGAATTAATTCTTTGTTTTATATATATATATCTATATATATGCATGATGCTGCCTGAGAAAATATCCAAAAGGTGGTGTTTTAGAAGCCAGCATCATGCAGATGTTATAAGTACTCCTTCATTCATAAAAGGCTTTTTCCCCTTTTTAAGTGCCGTACTTTCGTCACTGTTTTATCCCAGTCTAATAATATAATAGTCATAGTCCATGGGTAAAAAGTACGATTTTGATAACCGTATAGATTTTTTTTTCAGGGCAAATATGTGATCATACTTCAGAATAAAATCATGGCCAGAAAAGTGTGGAAATAGTGCGAGTGTGCGCGTGATCTCAGGGACAGAGAGAGGGCCGAATCTCAGTTTTCTTTTTCTTTCCCACCTCTTAATGGTCGATTCCTTTTTTGCCTTTTCTTTCTTAATATTTCTCCTCCTCCACTTATACCTGACAGCAATAAACTTTGCATTTTTGTTTTTCTTTTCAGGAGTAACATTTCTTGATTTTTCAGAAACCGCCAGAGACACCCACCTCACCTCATACTCTGCCTTTTGCCTCCTCCAAGTCCAGGCTCTTATAACGACTAATGTCACCGTTCGTACGCAGGCCGTGTTGAACTCTGGGACAGAGAGAGGGCCGAATCTCAGTTTTCTTTTTCTTTCCCACCTCTTAATGGTCGATTCCTTTTTTGCCTTTTCTTTCTTAATATTTCTCCTCCTCCACTTATACCTGACAGCAATAAACTTTGCATTTTTGTTTTTCTTTTCAGGAGTAACATTTCTTGATTTTTCAGAAACCGCCAGAGACACCCACCTCACCTCATACTCTGCCTTTTGCCTCCTCCAAGTCCAGGCTCTTATAACGACTAATGTCACCGTTCGTACGCAGGCCGTGTTGAACTCTGTTTTGGCAGGTGTTTGAAAGTAAATCCACATCCCAGTCATGGAATGGTCCCTTTCCCTGTAGGATGGCTGCTGGTTCCCTGTGGCAGAACTGATTTTCTATCCCCTCCTTTCCTTCCCTGCTTACATCACGCTGTCTGTCTGTCTGTCACTTGTAGTATGCATTTGTCTGTACATTTTTAATAAATACATCTAGATTTTATGGGAGTAGTTCACTCAAAAATGAAAATTTTATGAAAATTTGCTCACATTCAGGCCATCCAAGATGTAGATGAGTTTATTTCTTCGTAGGAACAGATTTGGAGAAATTTAGCTGTACATCACAGCAAACCAATGAATGGGTTGTGAATGGGTGCCGTCAGAATGAGAGTCCAAACAGCTGATAAAAACATCACAAAAATCCACAAGTAATCCACACCACTCCAGTCCATCAGTTAACATCTGGAGAAATGAAAAACTGTCTGTTTGTAAGAAACAAATCCATCATTAAGGCTTTTTAAACCATCACTTCATAATAACGCTTAAATCCGTCTCCTGTTTTCCTCTTACATCAAAATCCAAAGAAATATTTATTTGGAACTAGTTTAGACAGTGTTTGATATGTGCAGATTTCTCTCCTGATTCAAACAAGATTACTTTTTCACTGTAGGATGTAATGTTATGGATTATGGACTCGTATTTTAGCTGGAAGCAATGGTTTGGTGTTAAAACATCTTAATGATGGATTTGTTTCTTGCAAACATGCAGTTTTTCGCTTCACAAGATGTTAACTGATGGACTGGAGTGGTGTGGATTACTTGTGGATTATTGTGATGTTTTTATCAGCTGTTTGGTCTCTCATTCTGACGGCACCCATTCACTGCAGAGCATCCATTGCTGAGCAAGTGATGCAATGCTACATTTCTCCAAATCTGATGAAGAAACAAACTCATCTTGGATGACCTGAGAGTGAGTGCATTTTCTGCACATATTCATTTTCGAGGAAGAGGAAATGTGTCATTTTTGATGCTAAAATACTTTATTCTATCTCCGTTTCAGTGCAATAGGAAAATGCATCCATTTTACTTTGATAATAAGATGCATTTCTGAATGCAACTTAATTTTATCCATCAGGGAAGTGTTTCTCCTGAAATGTGTTTAAACACCCTTTACATTTTCTTGCCGCAATGCAAAGTTTTTACAGTTTCATTTGCTGCTGATAGTGACTCAGAAATGACACACTTCACCTTTAATGAGTGTGTCTGGAGTAGAATATGAAGCGTAAGCCGAGGCAGAAGAGAGGTTATCATCATTATTAATATTTCCACCTCACTGACAAGTCTAACCGCTTGTTGGACGCGGCCGTCCATTAATGGAACATCATTATGAGCTTTTGTTTCTCGAGACATCTTTGTCTTTTTGCAGCATCCCTGATAATTGAGGTTTATAGGTTTAGTGTCTAAAGACATGCACCCAAACAATGGCAAAAACCAAAGCCGCGGTGCGTCCGTCTGCCAATCAGCGCTCAGCAGATACGCTAAGCCAGCGGCCCTCTTCTATACGGAGAGCAGCTCATCTCAGCAGCGAGGCAATCTGCACTCTCCATATGCCTTTAAACATGTATTATGCATGAAAATGTATAGCAGCTCACTCAGGTTTTCCCTCAAGCGCTGCTGTAGAGAAACTCACAGGCTTGACTTTGAGTCTCACTCGCTGAACAGCTTTAGTTGATGCTATTCCAAATGAGTCCATCTCACTTTGCACTGCTTGATAGGTTTTTAATTGCTTCTTAAAGGAATATTTCACTCAAAAACAAACCCTTATTACCCTCATGTCATTCAGTATCCTGTGTTTTTTCGTTGTAAAATTATTGTAAAACCTTTATGCAGTGATGTATAGTGACCACGTCAAACTCCAAAAAGGACCATAAGATGCACTTTAAATGTAGTCCTTACGACTATATTCAAGTCCTCTGAAGTAGTGTTAAGTATTATTACTATTCTAGTAAGTTATTCATATTTTTAATTAGCTTTAATGTTTTTCATTTTAATTTTAATTTCTTTTTTTTTTTTAATTCATTTTAATTTTGAGTTTTTTGTAACTTGAACTAAAATTATTATGAAAACTTAAAAAAATATATAGTATTTTTTTTATTTTAGTACTTGACCTTAAAATATTTTTAGTTGCCAAGACAGCATTTATAATTTTTAATAATAATAATAATAATTTAGCTTAAGTTTTTCATCTAATATTTATAGTTCAGCATTATTTCAGTTAACAAAAATAATTTTAATAGTTTTAGTTAATAGCAACACTGTTCTGAAGTCATATAATAGCATTGTGTGATGAACAGACCAAACGTTAAGTTGTTTTACAATGAAAATAAAATACACTTTTTTTTTTTAATCAATATTTTGAGTTAGTTTTTATTTTCAGTTTTCATTTTAATTTTAGTTAAAAATTTCTAGCAACTTAAACTAAAAACAAAATGAAAACTAATAAAAAAAATACATTTTGTGAAATGAATTTTTGTTATTTTTTAAAACATTTGTATTTGGGTTTAATTAATTTTTATTTAATTTTAGTGCTTATTTTATTTCATTTTATTTTCAGCGTTTCTAATTTTCATTTTTTCTTCTAATGTTTAAGTTGTAAGTTTATTTCATCCAATATTTATATTTTATTTCAGCTTTTTTTTTCAGTTAACGAAAACAATTTTTAATAGTTGTAGTTTTAGTTAACAATAGCAACACTGTTCTGAAGTCGTACAATAGCTTTGAGTGAGGAACAGACCTAAAGTCAAGTAGCTATTGATCCCCCCCCCCCCTTCATTGGGAGCTACAATTGAGATACAACCTGCAGGTCTCTGGTTTAACATCCTTCATACTGTGTCCAGGTTATCGGGGGAGAACAGAAACGGTGAGAAGATGCAGCTGACAATGAGCAACATCAGTTCAGATGTTCTGGAGCTTCTCCTGGAGTTTGTTTACACCGGCTCCCTCATTATCGACTCGGCCAACGCCAAGACCTTACTGGAGGCGGCCAACAAGTTCCAGTTCAACACTTTCTGCAAAGTCTGTGTCTCCTTCCTCGGTAAGAACCTGCCGGATGAAATGTTTCCTAATTTCACCAAAGTCACGCAAAGCCAGTCACTAAATTGCATGCATTTAATACAACACAATATTCTTTAGTTTCATTTTCAGAGAAAGTTGTCGCATCGCGTCTGCTCAGAGAGAGGGGTGAAAAACATGGAAAAGTGTTTTTGGTGCAAGTAACCTTGAGTGTCATTGGACCTCAGGAAAGAAATGCTGCCATAAATGCAGAACATGATTGTAGTTCTCAATCTCTCATGGACAAAATATGGTATTATGCTATATTATGTATATATGAGTTTGTTTTTGTAGGTACTCTGAAATCTTGGAGTAATTTACTGGAACTTCATGGTGAAGCTGTGAGGGAATACGCTCATTATTCATTCTGTCCGTGTCTCGCTCACTCTTTTTGGATTCTGTTTCCCCTTTCAGAGCTGGAGGCTTGAGTTATGTTGATTGACACGCGCACACACACACACACACACACACACACACACACACACACGCTCTGCTGTGGACTGAAGTGAATCAGAAATACAGTTGCTCATTACAGCAGTCGTAATGACCTGCTCCCTGGTTGCGAATCAGTCGACTTGACGGTTGATATGAAGTAATTTCCAGTAATCTGAATACTTTTTCGTCAGATATTGCACCAGGAGCCAGACTCTGAGGAGTCAATCCATACATATTTTAGCATGTAGATTGAGATGCATGCAAGATGCTGGATCATAATTTGAATTTGATCTGAAGTAAGTAGAATTGAAATAGAATGACATTCAAATAAATTTATGCTGTAAGTGTAGTTTCTGTTTGTAGTTTTAACAAAATGATGCTTTTCAGCGTGAATTACCCATAAACCATAGGCAAACCAAGCCAGTCGATTTGGTCAATTGTAGCTTTTCTATAGTAAACTTACAATTTCACACTCCGTGTTTTTACTACAAATTTATTTTACGAATTATTTTTGCTGCGCTAGCAATAAACACATTGAAAATATTGCACAATAAACAAGTTTGTCAACAGAATCGCTAAGTAGGCTTTTATTAAACAAGTCAAGAAGTGAATTTCTCACCCGCTGCTTTAAAGCAGATATCTGTTGGACATGATTCAAGTTCAACGCACAAAAGCAGACACACAAACACTTCATATTTAGTAAATGTTGAAAATGGCTGATTAAGCAGTTTATATTATAAAATCTATCTCTAGGTTTTGTTTTGTGTTAAAATTTGGATGTAAATAGTCCTCTTCCTGACATAAATGTAGCACACCCAACCGCTGCAACACATCAGCATCTGACTTTATTTTGGTTAGGTCCAGATCTCTCTACAGTTGATGTACGTTGTAAAGAAACGCTGAATATCCATTCACGCCATGCAACAGGCAAGCAGTATAAACCATATTATCTGCTGTAATGCAGATTCTTCATGCAGCAACTGAGATTGGGTGACGTATTAGTTAGTTTGGTTTGATTTATTCATTTATTTACAAAATAGCAATTTAAAATGTATTAAAATAACTACATTGTATGCATATTTACTTTTCAATTGAAAATATTGATTAAAAA